CCCCGGATCAAAAAAAAAAAAAAAAGAAAGAAAGAAATGCTAATGTTGAGCTGTTCCTTTTTAAAGTCATGCAAATGGTATAATTATGATAAACAGAAAAAATACCAAGCCCATCACCTGATTTAATTTTCATGTTTCCTCTCCTTCCCTTCCCACATGTTGGTCATTTTGCCATATTTTATAGTAGAGTCCACCCAAAAAGGATAAGGAGGCTACTTCCATGCTCAAATTATCCATTTATAATAAGTGGATAAAGTTCTTCCGAAATCACAGAAGTTTTTAAAAGGAAAAGAAAAATCAGTTTGTGTTTATAGAAACTATTTAAAACCAGATATTTTATTATTGATAGAAATCTTAAAAGTAGGCTCTCAAGCAGTTTTCTTGGTATATAAGTATATTACTTTCCCTCTAGTCCTCACAGAGCCTTTGAGAGGAAAACATACGCTCATACTTGCAAATTACTCAAAATAATTTTCTCTTCCACTCTGGATTCTGAGACAACCCAGACTGTTTGGATTCCAGCTCATCAGCTAATAGACTTTCTTCCAACCCAACTTCTTCTCACTCAATCTGTCCTCCATGTGAATTGTTGATCTACAAATTCTAATTCCATGGCTTTGGTGATTGCCACAAAGTTGACACTGGGTATAAGGATGTGATACAGAATAATGCAAACAACAGGAACCAGTATCCTAACCCTCCCTTGGATGGACTCTGTATCCACCACACTTAAGACCATGTAAAAATGACATATGCATGTGAGGAGAGGAAATGTGGAAAAATAAACAAGGTGATGGGTTTGGGATATGATTTGTTTTTCTGTTTATTATAATTTTACCATTTGTGTAGTTTAAGACAAGGAACAGATCAAAATGAAAAAGCAATGCATCCAGAATAATCAGGAACATGCAAATAAGAGGAAACAAAGCAGAGAAATCTGTCATAGTTGAGGACTAAGTAGATCTTTAAGAAACTCCTATATGAGATGCTGTGACAATACAGAAGGCAGTCTCCACCTGAGTGTAGCCATTCTAATGAAACATAACCAGTAGATAACACAAATTAGGGCATCAAAGCAGAGTATCTTTGTATCTGCACTTGGAGAATGGTAGTTGTTATGGCTTGTGCTTAGACCCTAAAGCCTCATAGGGTCACAGGTGGGGCTTTTTCAGAAGTGGCTAGATCTAGAGTGTGTGATGCTGGAAATGATTCATGGTGCAATGCTAGGCTCCAGATTATGGGTGTTGAGTGTTACCCGACCTAAGTAGTCTGGATAAGACAAAATGGATAGAAAGACACTGTCAAGGTCCCTTGTTGCTTTTGCTACCTTCTGTCTGCTGCCATGAGCTGTTTCTCCTGTCATGTCACCCTGCTTTGGAACCAGCTGATTATGGACTGAAACCTCTACAAACCGTGAGCTAAATAAACCTTTCCTCCTTTAACTTTGGGTGTCGGGTATTTTGTCTCAGCAACAAGAAAAGTAACTAAGATGAATAGTGATATTCTTTGTTCTGTCAGCCAGAAGCCAAGAGTTACCATAGTTGAAGCTCATTATGGAAGATCTGGGCCACTGCTTATATCTAAATGGGCTGGATGATTCAGCCTCAGACCAAATGTCCACAGCATCTGAACTTCACTTTGAAGCAGGCCTCCATAACACAGCCATTTCCTTTCAAATATCTTATTCTGTCTCCAACACAACTCCTTTGGTTTGGTTTCAATGAGAGTTTTTATGCCGTCACTGATAACGTGCAGAAATCTTGATGGTTCAGCCCATGCTGGCCACATTTTCAACTGCTCCTTTAGAGTCAACAGTTGCCCCAGTGGTCACTACTGTCTTTCTCTTTTTCATGTGCTGCCCCTCCACCAAGCATCTAGCACCTCTGGGCACTTTCTTCTGAGGTATTAGGGGTGAGAAGGAAAGGAATGAGGTCAGACTAGGGCAGCTGCTGCAAATGAGGAAACAGGCTGGACAGGAAACTGAGCTGGATGGACTCTGGTTGATTTTCTCAGCCTGCTCTTCTGCCATCTCCCACCATTCCATGATGGGAACCAAGAAGCCCCCTTTTCTGACTGACAACACATGTGCTTTAACAGAAAGCCCAGCTACTCAGGTCACACATCAGAGGCCCATGAGCTGAGTCTGGCCCACAGATGTGATTTGTTTGGCCCTTAGCAGTGTTTTTAAAAATCCAATCAGTTGCCAACTTGTAGACTTGGGTGATTTCATATAAAATTCTCGAATTCTGGCTTTGCTTTAAAAATATGTGAGTTCTGGCAGCAAAGGTCTGCATTCCCCATGACAACAATTGGCTAGTGCTGAGCAGCAGCTGCTCCTACCTGTCTGCAAACTCATACTCCCAGGTCACCAGAGCCCCTCCCTGATGCCCTACTCAGCCTTGGAGACATTTGAGTGTTTGACCCTTCTAAGGAACTCTGTATTAAATAACAATTACTACCATTAATAACCTCCCCTCTTTTTAATTCAAGCTTCCTGTCAAAAACGTTGACTTCATTTGTATTCTAAGATTGAATCTGTATTTTAAAGATCATTTTAAACTATCATAGCACAACAACAAAATAAAATTTCTTACAAATAAACTACTGCCTTGTCCCAATTTGTGTTTCCATATTCTCCTTTTTATCTCTTAGAACCAGAAAAAGAAAACCTTTGCAAACATAATAAAATGTTATGAGGTGGCGATCATGTTTCTTTCACTTTACAACTGGAGAATGGAAACGTTCTTGCTTTGTTGTTATTGGTGTGAGTTTACATGGTGCCACTGCACTGCTGTGTGTAGAGGGGAAGGGAGGAAGCCATGCCAAGTGCAAGCCTAGAAAAAGACCCAAAGTCATCCTCTGGCTGGCTCAGACCAGCAGCTTAGAGGCAAGAGGGCTGACCCTACTCAGACCAAGAAGAATAGGTTTATAGGGCTGGGGATTTAGCTCAGTGGTTTCGCTGCCTGCCGCGCAAGTGCAAGGACCCGAGTTCAATTCCCGGTACCAAAAAAAAAAAAAAGAGTGTGAAGAATAGGTTTATGCCTAAGGGAAAACCAGTTTTCAGGCTCCCTATAAAGGGCAATTCAGCTTAGAATCCTTTACATGAGATTATTACTGCTATGCATCATAGTTCACTTCCACCTGAGCCCCTCTGGGATCTCAGAACCTAGTCATTTACAAATTTTCACTGTACCCCCATGCCATCAGCCTTAACCCTGTAAACTACAGCCACTTGTCATGGGTTCTCTGAGGCTTCCTGAGGGGTTCCTTTGTATCACAGGCCCTGTCCCTCACAACATACCTCTCAAGATCTTTCTACCCTAAGTAGTACTGACTGGTTGAAATCAATTCTTTCTAGCTCATTTGAGTTTTTCATTTCTTTTCACTGCACTGGCAATTTTTTTTTTTTTTTTTGGTACCAGGGATTGAACTCAGGACCTTGCACTTGCGAGGCAGGTGCGGTGCCGCTAAGCCAAATCCCGTGCCCTCCCTCCTTTTTTTTGCACTGGCAATTTTTAATTTGTTATTCATTTAGACAGGTGTACTGTGTGGTTAAAACTTTTTCTTTAAAGTGTGGAGAGAAGTGTAGGTTAGGCAGGGGGTGGATGAGTAAAGACAGGTAAAGGAAACAGTTTTCAGTGGTTTAGCCCTCCTGATTTGGGTAGAAGATAGGGAGGTAAAGAAGACAAATATTAGAATGTAGGGTCAAAACCTGGATTGGTGGGAAATCTATGCTGCACAGAGGCTGCTGGTGACATCTTGGTTATCCCTTCTTT